AGTTTATAAAAGCAAATGTTTTAAATCAACATAAAGGGCAGAAGATTTAAACATGCCAAAGAATGTTTAAATCAGGTCATGAATTGTTTGCAATTCAAATTTCATTTTTAAAGAATTTTAATACTATTGAGATTTGGCTAATTGTTTAGAAAGAGGGTTGTACCTTATTGCTTATAGATTAGAATAATTAGGCATGCTTTCGAGATCCTCTCACATAGTCAAGAAAGTGATTTGAATATACCGAATCAAATTTTGATGTATTTTTTTTTTTTCCTTTTTGTCTTTTTTCGTGCCCGGCAACGGATCGCAACCCTCAGTGTCGCGCCCGTACCGGACCGGGACCGGCTACGGGATCGCAACCCTCGGTGTTGCTCCCGCACCTCGCTCAGCCAGTGAGCGGCCGGTCTGTATGTGGGATCCGAACCCTCAGCGGGAGCGCCACCGCGCTTCCCAAGTGGCGCACTGTAGCAGTGCGCCACCGGGCCGGCCCTGATGTAATTTTTTTGTTGTTGTTATTCGTACAGTAGGTATTAAGTATCAGTCACAGGAATCTTCAAGTTGGGAAACACTTAAGCCAGGGTGCGTGTGAAAACCTCTCCAAAGGGTTTGGAGCCACTTAGATGGTTTTAAGTGAGCAACTCTCCATCTCCTCAGCTTCCTGCTGAGTCTCCTTTCCTGACTATCTTCCGACATGTAGTCCTTCTCTCCTTGTACTAAAGAAGACCTGACTTTCTAACTCTCGCCCACATGGCCCAAGGGTGCAAAAACTTCTAAGAGGGAGGGGGCAAAAGGAAGAATTCAAAATATTCATGTCTATGTATCAAAAATTCAAATTGTACCCCATAAATATGTACAATTACAATGTCTCAATTAAAATAATTTTTTAAAAATCGGGTTGTGTGGGCCGGCCCGGTGGCGCACTGCTACAGTGCGCCGCTTGGGAGCGTGGTGGCGCTCCCGCCGAGGGTTCGGATCCCACATGCAGACCGGTTCCTGCTCACTGGCTGAGCGAGGTGTGGGCGCAACACCAAGGGTTGCAATTCCGTTGCCGGTCCCGGTCCGGTACGGGCGGGACCCTGGGGGTTGGGATTCATTGCCCGACAAGAAAAAAAGCAAAAAGGAAAAAAAAAAAAATCGGGTTGTGTCGAGAAGTACATGACTCTAATGACTGAGTAACAGTCTTTTGTACATCAGATAGTTATAAATCCATTGTAGCCAGCAGAAAGGAAAGACCTAACTGAGTTCTATGATGGATTATTGAAAAGACTTCTTCGTGGTAAATTATTAAGTGATTTTTGACATGGAATTCAAGAGGAATTCACAGAATTAGTGATACTGCTATAGCAAAAGTATATCTACCTCATGCTTACACATTTCATCAACACTTACATCTACAAAGCAGAAATTACACCTAGTATTGATGCTGAACCCTAGCAATGAGA